CGTCCACATCCTTGACGTCGGGCTACGCTACCAGTATCACGGTAACGAGAGATGGTACGAAACACAAACGATTTATTCACATTTAAATGCTGGAGTTCTCTAACGATAGCCACTTGTTGTTTTCCAGCCAAATATAAAGAAATCACACTATGACGCTTGAATTCCATACCTTTTTTCTGGATAATTCTCACCAAAATGCTTTTGTACGCTTGTAAACAATAGAAATGAGTTGTAACTGGAATAATTTTAACAGCTGTCGGACGACTGGCTTAGAAATGACAGCAGTTTGAAGTTGGTTGCAGTTTTTTCATCTCACCCTCTACACTTAAGCCAGTTTACAGTCCATTATCTGATTAAGGTCTTCTATGGAGTCGTATTGGAATCTAATATATGCAAACACTGGGAAGAGAACATGCTTCAATGTTTTGCCATATTCCCATATGCCCTGCATATGCTGTTATTTGCACATCCAATTTTACACAGGTGTGCTTGTAGGCTCAGATGCCCCGCATGGATGTTTGTAACCCCGCTAGTAATAAACGATTCCTCATTTTTATCTCATTGGGGTTGTCCCAAAGGACTTTTGAGGTTTTCCCAGTGCCTTCATTGTTCCATAGGTGTATGTGGGCGTTTTCTGCCTATTTCTTTATCTCTAGACGTGACGCGTTTAGCGGCATTGTATTGTCTAAGTTTACTATTGCTTATTCCCTGCCTGCTCCACTGATAGTTTTTAATATAATCCTTATCGAAGTCAAAGTATTTTGGTACTAGAGGTACAAAAGCCTCCGTCAAATTTGTTGAAAATCGATTCAGAGTTGGATATAGTTCTCAAATTGCGACTACTCTAAAGCCAAGATACCCACTCAAACAAGTTTCATAGTTGGTATGATCTACTTCACATAAATTCCCAATAAAAACTGTTTTGTTTGTGGGAGCTCTACTAAATACGCATGTGGTGTAGGGTATTATGTGATCAGATCCCGCCGACTTTTGACCTTCCTTAAGGTATATATTTACAGAATCATTTTTGTATAATTATTATTATTTTTTTGCGAGCATCATAATGAATTAAATGATGTTGTCTTTTTTGGAAAAAATAAAACCCATTATAAAATATACAAAAGATTTTCAATAATTTTCCCATGACCAAATACTGATGCTGTGCGTATTGGATTTCAAAACATTTTAATTATATTTCTATTGCGAATCTATTGAAGATTATATGACATCATATATTGAATTTTCATATTTGCTATGCCATGTAAACAAAAGACTTAAGCTACAAACTTGATTATCGATTGAAAGATGTCCGTTCGTTTTTCTCTGATGGGGTTCAATTGTTTTTATGGCTATCATAATTCGTTTGTATTATTTATAAAATAAAAACTCACCATAAAATTGTAATATTTATTCTTATTATTGCGCGGTTTATAAAAAATTTTCGTAGAGGTTTTTTTTATATTATTTTTTAGTTTTTTTTGTTGGTATTTTTTGGCAATGCAAAAAACTTTATGGCGATAATATATCATGCGGTTTTTTCTGGGGTGTAGAGTTTATGTATTTTTAACTTGATTTATGTTGTGGTCTTTCATTTGTTTGGCTGTGATTTTTAGCAAATATTTGCCATAGCTTTAGTTGGCGGTGTTGTTGTTGCTATTGCTGTTGCGGCTTGGATGCCACCATTTGCGGTATTAAGAAACCGTACGACACTTGACAGTAAAAGCGTGTAATTTTGTATTATTTACGCATTTGATGCTATTAAAACGTTATAACATCTGTGTGAATACATGTGCACATATAATGAGATACATGAGATTTGCGGTTTGTCGGATTTTCGTCAAAGAAGAAACCGAAAATAAATAATGAAGGTATAAAATATGTATTTTAATTATATGGGAAAATCTTTTTCGTTTTTTTTTCTTTTTGAAAATAATTCCATAAAATATTCAGCTGTTCGTGGGTATTGACAAAGAAAAATTTTCAGTAATTGTCTGTTTAATATTACATGACTAGATTACACTGTGCAACACGAAAAAAGTAATTATAGGAAAAATAAAGTAGATTATGTATGCAGAGCTAAAAAAGTATATGCTTGTATCGGCATTTTCATCTACTTTTTTTTTTGGAATAGGATCCCTTAGAAGCCGTATGTGTACGAGGATTATTTTGCTTAATTAAAATTAAAAAATAAGCTCTACTTCCGATTTTTTTAATTTTTTTTTTTAAATTTTCACTTTTCTCCCATTGAATTCGTCACGGTTATGAAAAATTCCAATTGACTTTAATTGCTTTATGGATCAAACCCCCAAAAGAATTTCGAATTTTTAGGCCAAATTTTTTAGAGCTTAATATAGCCTTGATAATTTACAATTACACCCCCCCATAATTGATAAACAGTTCAAAGGGTGTTAATCTGAAAATTAAAAAACAAAAAATAAATTACAGGGGAAAGTTGTTGACAGAACAGGCTCTCTACTTCCGGGGGCTTGCCTAAAGGGTGTGTACTGATTATTAAACTCATTTACTGTCCTCCGATTTATATAAAAATAAAATATAGCTTGCAATATTTTTGTTGCAATATTTTTGTTATATATACCATCCACCATAGTATGGAGGATATATTTAGTTTGTGACACTTCGAAATATACATTATAGACCATATAAGGTCTACATATATTTTTTTTTGATCAGCATAATATTCTGCCCGTCTGTTTGTCCAACTCTGTCCATCACTCTATCTTCCGGGCGATGCGAAGTTCTATCGGATTTTTGGTATTGAAAACGGGCTATATAGGTCCAGCTTTTGGTATACACCCATATAATAGTATCGACAAATTTAAGTATGCGTTTCTATTATATAAAACTCCTCCTTCTACATCCTTGTAGATAAATTCGAATATCTGTCTAAGATTGGGTATAGTCCCCATATAAGTGTGTCTCCCTTTATTCGGTTAATTCGGACAATTTTAGGGACATTATTCACCGGAATTGTTTCAAATTCAAATTTCTTTCATAGGCAGCATATTACAGGTCCAAGTCTTCATATATCCTCCATATAACTGTCCCTCTTTATATTCGGTATTTTGATGATTTGAGCTCCATCTTAAACGCAATTGTTTTGAAATTTCTACCAAATGGTGCTTTTTTGGTTTGTTTTGACTGGATTTCATTAACTTGAGTGAATGGTGGTACATTGACACAGGAGCTTTTGCCTCACTCCCCCACAGGAGTTTCGGGATCACTGTTACCCTGGAGTTTCGCTCTCACTGTCCGATATCTAGAGTAGAAACGCAGTCTAGAGTAAGACCGTAGCAGAGCCCGAATAACTAATTTCCGAACACCGTTACGAAATCCCGATCCTCTACTCCTCGTACACGACTCTAACACGTGTGACCAGAGCATCACCAGCTTACAATACCAGTGACACGAATGCCATTATCCAGAGTTCCCGATTATAACCCGAACAGCGGCATCGTCTGCAGCCCGAACAGTGAAATCATATACAACTTGAACGTCATCATCGTGCTCTCCGACGACCGTTTATAAGAACTCCCCGATAATCGTTCACCAGGGTTCCCGATTATCTTCGAATTGTCTATAAACCGATAATCTTTATCTCCAGAATCCATATTATACCATTTAAACACGAGTTAATTGTACACTAGTATTTAAATCAATATATCGACCGATTTTTACCCACAGGGTATGGAGAATAACACCCTTTTCATTTCATGGGGTTTAGTTGGTCCTTATGGAAACCCTGGCTGGGACTAAACTTACCCCAGCTGACGAGAAAACCAGGTTACAGACTGTAATTTAAAGTTTGGTGTTTATAATGTGAACCCGATGCCCGTTTATATGGGTCCACAATTTGATGTAGCTCCCAGAGAACAGCACAGTCGATTTTAAACCGTTGACAATTTTTTGCTATATTTTTTCAATGTGATTTGCAGAAACTGAACATTTTATAATAGGGTAAGAATTACCAAAAATATTGGACATATTTTACATATGGTCACCATATAACCGAGCCACCCGATATGAGGAATTTTCCAGACTTTAATGCAAGTTGCCATATTGGGTTCTGAGTACAATATAGACAAAATAGCTTCTAAAAAACTGTCAAAAAAGTTTCACTATTTATTTATTTCAAAAATTTTTGTGGCATTTTGGAACACGGGTAGGAACTATAAATGGAAATATATGAAGCTGAAACCCTTTTTCGCCATCCACATACCTTTGTCAGTATAATGGGAAATTTTGAGAGTGGCCAGGATTGGGAAAGGAAGTAGAATTAAATCTCTTTTAAAAAATGGCAAATGCGAAAATATTAAGTTAGTATAACTTTTGAACTGATTATACTTATGAGTTCTTCATTTTTCTCCAAAATCATAATAAAGATCTCAACATTCTCCGCTTTGAGTAATTTCAATTTTAATATTAAGAAATATTTTTGGAATATGAAAATTTGATATGTAAGAGAATATTTTCATCACTAGAGTAAAAATTTTTTGCATTCAGCTATTTGATTTTTATTACGGGTTGGAACCACTGTGCAGTGTAATAAACTGAAATTTGGAATTAATATTCTTTTTCGGATTACATGTAATGCATTAGAATTGTAGTGTATTTTATTAAAATAATAAAAGTTTTCCTTATTTTTAAAATATGTATTTCGCATTGCCTTGGGTTTTACAATCTCATAAAATGAATTGAAATATAACACGATTGATTCAACTACATGTTAAATATTTTTGTCGAATTTAATTTATCTGCTGAATATAATAGCACAATATTTTTTTATGAATGCTACAGGAAGTAAGTTATCATAAATGACCTCTGAAATTATCAGAGGCAATTATATAAAATTAACAAACATTTTTCTGTATTTTATGTAATTTTTTCCTTTTTTCCCTTATAGACTTTTAATCGAAAGAATTCGTTCTGTATTCTATAGTACCTATTTCAAAATTTCGAATTTTACATACACTAAAACTCACCTCATAACCATGCAGCGTGGGATCTGTTGTACTGGTCGAACTGCCATCACTCAAACCGCTTGTATCACCATGGCTATCGCCACCATTGGCACTAATACTGGCCGTACTATTACTACCACCGCCACCAACAACAACATTACTCCCACTACTGGCATTACCACCTGTACCACCGCCACCTCCGTCATGCGTCATCGGACTGCTAACATCTGGTGTTGCATTGTGATGTGGCTGTTGATGCGCTGTTGAATGATGATGGTGATGTGGCTGGTGTTGATGCGTATGATGATGATGCGGATGATGTTGAGGCTGGGGAGATGTTATTGTATGTTGTTGCTGCTGCTGCTGCGGCTGCGGGTGGTGATGATGACTGTGACTGTGTAGATTCACATTAACACCCAGTCCCAAGCCCATATCGGGCGCTGTTACAAAATCGAAAAAATCTGTTTTCGATATATCCTCCGGACGAAAGGATTCACTGATATCCATGCCAGTGGATGACATTTCATCGGTGCCAATCATTTAGGCAAGTTTATGTTTTGAAACAATTTTGCCACTGCGTTTATGCGTTGCACACCTGCAGGGGTGGTGTTCGAATGCAGGTTGTTTGGATGTCTATGGGAAAATGCGGTTGAACTATAAAAAGGCTCTGGAAAAATAAATAAAAAAATAAGAAATAAATCAAAATATAAAGGTTGTGTTGAATTAAAATAAAGATTTTACATAAATGTAAATATAACAATATTTTTTTATTCACGAAATTAAGTAAATATGTACAATTGAAAAAAAGAATACATTTTTGCTAGGATTTTTTTTTCAAATCCATTCTTATTAAATATAAGATTTTTTAACTAACAATTTTAAACTTTTCAAACAGGCCAACAGGGAGTTGGTCAACTTTGTCTCTTTTCTAATCCCATCTGTGTTTGATAAAAAATATTAAGATAATTCAGGGTTAAAACAAGTTGGATAGTTCTAACAAAAATTATCAGTCAGACCAAATAGATGACCATGGATTGATCTGAGACATGAAAGAGACATAGGGTCCAAGACTGTTAAATCGATGAGACACATTTTGGTCAAATAAAATTATATATATATTTAGTCATAAGGTTATGTCCACAGATTCATATTTTGAGCCGATTTAAGTATATCCGTCCGTCTGTGTATCCAAGTATTTTTATAAGCAAAGTACAGATCGAATTTAGTGACCGACTGAACAAATTGTGTTCGAACTCAACTGTAATTTGTGACAATCCGTTAAATTTTCAATGTAACTCCCTTATATGCCGGATGAGGGCATATTTCACATGTAAGTCAATGTAGAAGGAAATCAGCGAAATTTGGGGAAAAATCGATTCAGACGTGATCATACACCCCATATAGTAGTTGCAGTCAATTTGACTTTTAACTAATCTGAAAGTATTAATTTTTTATAGATATCAATAATATTAGGTATCTGTGCAATTTTTTGTTAAGATCCGTTCAGATTTAGATATAGCTCTCTTACATTACTGTTCTCGATTTAAGATATATTGTGTACCCAATTTCATGTCCATATGAGATGAATTGTAACACACGAAAACAGGGTCTTGGAATCTCTGGGTGAAAAATTATTAAAAGTGATTCTGATTCATTTGCCCATAATCAGAGTGGTGTAGAGTATCAAATATGTGGCCCGTCTGACCTCGAAACATGCCCTAGAGGTTATTTTGATGTTCAGGGTAAGATAATATGATTATATTTGCAAGTAAACATTAAATTTCAACGTTTCAATACATCCCAAGTTTGTAAAACCTCGAACCCCACCATGTAGTTTGCTGAACATTGTGTCAAAATGAGCTGAGCCGATCGACCTATTTAGAATATGAGCTAACTTTAAACTCTCTCAAAATCAATTCACTTTATAAAATGTTATAACATGAAGTCTCGGATAATAATGGTTCAAATTTTTTTGTACCCTCCATATTATGGTGGGACGGGTATTACGTATGCCATTCCGTTTGTAGCACCCATTCCGTTTGATCCCAAAAAGAATATTTATCATTGATCAGCATTGAATTATATGTCGATTTAGTGATGTCAGCCCGTCCGTCTGTCTGTCCATCTGTCCGTCTGTGGAAATCACTCTAGTTTCCGAAAGAAATGAAGCAGATTGATAAAATTTTACTCAGATGTATGCTAGGTCGACAGGACTTTCGTGGTGTAGCTCCCATATAACTATGTCGACAGATATAAGGTTTCTTTCTTTTAGGTACAATTTTATCCCGAATGTGCTGTGAAATGGTAGCATGTGATGCGGAGAACTGTCAATATAGGTCTAAATTTTGGTATGGTCCCCATATACCTGTATCTCCAGATATTCGGTATTTTGATGATTTGTATCACACTTTTCACGGGATATGTATTGCATGCTATGACAAAAAAAATGCTTATACAGGACCACGTTTTCGTATATTTTCCAACGGACTGTTTATACCCTCCACCATAGTATGGAGGGTACATTAAGTGTGTCATTCCGTTTGTAGCACATCGACATATACATTATAGACCCCAAAAGTATATTTATTCTTGATAAGCATAAAATTCTATGTCGATTTAACGATGTCCGTCCGTCTGTCCGTCTGTGGAAAACACTCTAGCTTCCGAACGAAATGATGTAGATGGAGAAAATATTACTCAAATGTATATTATACCCGCAGGACTTCTGGTATTGAAAGTGGGTAATGTAGGTCCACGTTTTGGTATAGCCCCATATAAAACTCCCGATATTCGGTATTTTGATGATTTTTAGCGAAATTGTTCACCGGAATGGTTTCAAATTTTGCTATTTGATGTTCGTAGTGGATACTACAGCCTATGACAGAAAATTGTCTATGCAGGTCCACGTCTTCGTATAGCACACATATAACGGTACCTTCCGATATTCGGTACTTTGATGATTGACATTATTCACCAGGATTGTTTCAAATTTGGTATTTTAAGTTCGTAATGGATACTACAGCCTAAGGAAGAAAATTGTCTGTGCAGGTATAGCCCCCATATAATAGTACCTCCCCATATTGATGATCCACATTATTCAAATATCTCTTTTCCAAGTTTCGCATTTGAATATTGTAATGGCTTATGACAATGCACGTCGTCTTTTAGACCTAATATGACGCCTACATTCGGTAATTTTAAGATTTTAACAAAATTTTTAACGGATTTTATGTTTTTTGTAGATTGCCAAATTCGTTCCTAATGGAAGAGGGTATTCAAAGTTCAGCCCGGCCGACCTTACAGCGTTTTTATCGTTTTTATACCCTACACCACAAGGTGGTCAGGGTATTATGTCTTTGTGCATTTGTTTGTAACAGGCAGAAGGAAACGAGATAGACCCATAGTTCCTTTTGATGATCTGCATAGAATCACATTCTGAGTCGATTTATGCATGTCCGTCCGTCCGTCTGTCCGTCCGTCTGTCCGCCCGTCTGTCCGTCTGTCCATGTATTTTTGTAAACAAAGTACAGGTCGCATTTATTGCCCGATCCAGGTTAAATTTTGCAAAGATCTTTTGTTTGGTCCAAGGACGATCCCTATTGAAATTGGAGATAATCGGTCAAAATTTAGATATACCTCCCATATACATATATCTTCATCCGATTTGCCTTTTATTGTGCACCAAACGTGTAATATCAGCCCGAATTGTATGGAATTTTGCACGTACGATCAGATTAGGCCAGAAAATATGTATGCCAAATTTGATCGAAATCGGTTCAGATATAGCTATAGCTCCCATATATATTGTTCATCCGATTTGTTAATTTTGTCTACCGCCGCCGTAATGTGCACTATGCAACAACAATATTCGGGGAAATATATCAAATACAGCTCAGAAATACATTTGCTAAATTTTATCGAGATCGGTTCAGATTTGGATATAGCTCCCATATATAACTTCGTCCGATTTACATTTTATTGTGCACCAAACGTCTAATATATGTCCAAATGGGATGGAATTTTGCACTTACGATCGAATTGTGTCTAGAAGCTAGTATGTCAAATTGGTTCAGATATAGCTATAGCGTCCATATATATTATTCATCCGAGTTGTTATACTTGTTACCCACAACCGTAATATGCACTCCGTAACAACGATATTCAGGGAAATATATCAAATACAGCTCAGAAATATCTTTGCCAAATTTTATCGAGATCGATTCAGATTTGTATATAGCTCCCATATATATCTTTACCCGATTTCAAATTAAATGTGCACCAAATGGGTAATACAATTTCGAATTCAAAAGATACAAATGCTTCGGCATACTTTGTCCTTTGAACTTTAAATTATAATTATAATCATAACGTGTTTGATTGAATTCTCCCATAAAAACTTTTAATTGTTATATGGAGCACTACTTAATTAGCCCGCCCGACTTTAAGACTTTCTTTACTGTTTTTTTTTGAAAATTTGCAAATTCCTTCAAAATTTTGGAGGGTATTAAAAGGTCAGCCCGGCCGAACTTACTGCTTTTTTCTTGTTTTAGAACTTTTTCGGCAGTCGTAAGTAGTTACAAATTAATCTACAAACAAGCTTTTTTTACAAGGGAATGTTAACCCAAAAATAGTTACAATCTTCGAAGTAATAATTATTACTCGAAAAATAAGTACTATTCATTTTCCCATATTTTCCTTTTGTCGGCTCCTGGTATTGATCTCGCAACTTTATGATTTGTAGATAAACAAACTATGTCACTGTTGCGAACCTAAGAGATTGTTTTGTTCTATATCTCCATCAAATACTCATCGGACCCTCTCTTTTTTGTCGGACAAGCACGTGCTGTGTTCATGACCTTACAACTAAATGGCATTTCCGAGGTTTGTTGAGAATAATCTCTTCTGTCACAATTGGTCCATGTCATTAGAAGCCCTTTTTAAGACAAAATATAGACAAAAGATGTCCTATTAAAAAATGGTTAGTAAATGTTGACTCTTTAAAAGTTTCAGATCTCTACCTAATTCAATTTACGTAAGAGAACCAGCAGTACGCTGAATTTCCAATTCAACTGTACTTAAGTTGAAATCTCAAGAGTGAGTGCAAAGTTTAGTTAATGGTCGAATGGAAGAACAGAATAGTCTACATCGACTTAGAATCCGAAGATAAGTCGATCGGTGTGATAACCGGTGCTTCTTATGTCACTTTTTCGGTATGTTTCAAACTTTTGGGGAAATCTAGCTTATTATATAAAATACACCAATATATTAGTGTATGATATTATTGAATTTAGACAAAAATATAAAAATCGGCTCAACTCATATTTTTCCATTTATTATTAAGACATTTTCACATTTCATTTTATTTTTTTGTTACCGTCACAATTAATATATCCCTCTGGAGTTGTAACTGACATAAATCAAAATTCCACATTTGTTGAAGTAAAGATATCTCACCGTACATATTCCAATCATCATTGCATTCATGAACAGAATGGAGGCTTTGTTTGTTGCCGCATAACAATTCCTAGCTATGTAACGAATATTTCTTGAATGTTTTTTCTCTCAGTTTTTTTTTCCAAACGACATTTATTTGGTTTACCTCCCTTGTTTTTTAGCTTCTGAGCTATGGTTGTCGTCGTTGTCGAAGAAGAAGC